GCTCTGTCTCTTACCAATTCTTGGATCTCCACAAATTGCATTTTTCCCTCGTTGCGAGCTTTCCCCTTGTATACAACAAACTCTCAGTGAAGAAGAGACTGCAGCTGTTGTATACAGCACCACTGATATAAATTTTCATTTACATTAAATGTAGACTTTTTCTTAGCCCTCATCTCACCATAGAAAGGTAAATTATGGTTCTTCTGCTTGGAAAGTCTTTTGCACATGCATTTCAGGGGCTTTTTGTCATTTTGGCTCCTTTTTGTGCGAGAGGATCTCTTCATCCAGAAACTCTTTTCACACTCTAATTATCTATGTGATTATTCTATCTCATCATGACAGGACTTTGACTGAAAGAAGTTCCCTCCTTCTCCATTCACACTGGTTGACTTAGCTGTTTTTCACAATGGACTAAAGCAGGGCTCTTCAACCAGTGGTACGGGTACAACCTGTGGTACATTGGCACCTGGTAGGTGGTACGCAACCATCCTAGAAAAGTAGTGGGGGAGAGAAATGAGCTGAACCGCACCGCATGAGACTGAGCTAGAGATGGCTGAAGCTGCAGGGCTCAGCGGAAGCGCCAGGATCAGTGCCGCTTTCCAGCTGATGGGCGCTTCTTCGGGGCTGTCAGGACTCAGTAGAAGCGTCAGGATCAGCTCCAGGCTCCAGCTGGAGCTCGGCGCTGATCCTGGCGCTTCTGCTGAGCCCTAAAGAAATCCCGATCAGCTGGAATGTTGCAGCATCTCCAGGGTCTTGTGATTTACATTCAGATGCTTGGCAACTGATTCATATTTATGACGGTCAGTGTCCCAGGGTCATGTGAAGTGACCAAAACCTGCTGCAACCACTCAGCAGATGGGAGGAATAAAAACCAAACACCCCCACCCCACCCCCACTGCCAATCCTCAACAGAAATGCTCACAACAATGAAAACCTCGGACAGTTGGAAGAGCGCAGCCAGGCGGGTAGGCAAGTGTCTTGCTCGGCTGTGGCTTGGGGGGCACTTTTTTCAGTGCCATTGTAACTTCGAACAGTCACTAAGCGAACTGTTGTAAGTTGAGGACTACCAATACTTTATCACTTTTTTCCTTTTTTTGGGATCATCAAGTTTTTGATACCTTGCTAGGTGACTGGTGGTACTCGGATATTGCCATATCCTAAAAGTGGTACAATGGGTGAAAAGGTTGAAAAGCCCTGGACTAAAGAGTTGGATTATTTTTCGTATTGCTTCTCACAGTCCAGAAGTTCCCATTCTCATTTCTGCTATAGAGGAAGAAAGATTTAAAAAGTTTTCTCTTGAAGAGATGCATCAGGGAGATGCAGCTCCTTCTGCTTGTTGTGGAAGCAATACATATTAAATGTCTGCCTGATCCCATCCCTCCTAGATCAATCATTTTCCAACTCAATACTGGAATACATTCTCAACTGAGCACCTTGTCCAAACTAAATACACTGAGGTGGAGACTGTAAATCCATTGGGGTTTTTGTAGGATTAAGCGTAAGTCACAGAGGATCTGATGTTACACTGTCACATCAGTTTCCTTTTTGAACATTTTTGTAATTTAGCACAATACCCCAAGAGGTTTTCCGTTTCAACATCTTCCAATTCATTACATAACTTCTACTGACCGCTATAAAAAGCTTAACTGTAAAACAATGGCTACTTAAGCCATTCTATTCATAAGGTATCTTCTTTAGCATCACACTTTTTTGATAATTCATATTTAGTGATTAATTCTGCAACTCTTTTGTCAGACTGGCCACAGTTTATTCCCTAGGAAAGAATGAGCCTTGATTCCATGGATGTTAGAGAAAAGGTACTTTTACTAGAGATACCGAGTGCAGCATAAGCAAGGCAAGCTCTGAAGAAAACTGCGCAAAAACCATATATTGAAAGCAATCGCCAATGTCCAAACCCCTTCCCCTGGATAGATCAGTCCAATCCAATCCTGGTCCAATGTTTTAGCAACCTGATGCCTCACCAGCAGATATAATTCCTTTCCCAGGGCTGGTGTCCTTGAGGGTAGGAAGATGGCTCAGTTTGGTACCACTGGCTCCTGTTCATGTCCATACTCCCCAAATTCTTATAACAATCCGCTTCCAGTGCTCTTCCCCTGCCAAATGTCCCCTTCCTCCTAGTTATGGCAGTTGCTAGCGAGCTTCAAAGAAAGCAAAGACAGGCATCTGACATCTTTCGTGATTTATGCCTGGAATGACATTTTGCTAGCTCAGCCCGATGCTTGCTCTCAAAAATTAAACTTTTATAAAGTTTCATTGGGGATTTGGGCTTTTTTTATTATGATCCAATTGGAAATGGGATTAACATGAAGAAAAAAAGATGTTCTTTTTTAAATAAAATGCCATTGGTGGCCTTCAAATGACAGTAGCTAGAAAAATCCACTGCTCATCATTAAAACACCACATGCGTAGCATTTGGTTTCCATTAGTAAATTCATCACTCTGTGGTTTCCAATTGTGAAGGTCAGAGTCAAAAAATTCAGTAGATGTAATTAGGAAATGCATATATTTCAACAACTAAACCTAACAGTTAAACAGATTATCACCCAAATGTATCTGTATATGGAACATTCGCCCATTGCTCCTCTTGAAGATGTTTCCATATTTCACAGATTTATAGGGCTTTTACACTGTGTGGTCCTTTTATGAAGGTTAAGATAACTATTCATAATAAAACCTTTTCCACACACCATACATTTATATGGCTTCTCCCCTGTGTGGATCCTTTTATGGGTGTTAAGATAATTCTTCGTAGAAAAACACTTTCCACATTCAATGCATTTATAAGGCTTCTCCCCTGTGTGAGTCTTTTTATGGCGGGTAAGACTACTAGAGACAGAAAAGCATTTTCCACACTCTATGCATTTATATGGCTTCTCCCCGGTATGTGTCCTACTATGGT